AAACCCCCCAATTTAAAGGAATTCAGTAGGGGAAGGAGGATTATTCCAACAAATGGAGTCACAACTGGATATCCATACAAGGAAGAAAAATAAAAAAAAAGAAAAGAAAAAGAACCTTGACAAATTAATTTAAATAAATAATCAATAATGCCCCATAGACCCAAGAGAACTCTGGTGGCATAGTGCCTAAGGCATTTGAGTGCTAACCAGAAGGCTGGCAGTTCAAACCCACCAGACACTCCTCTGAAGGAAGCTTGGGCAATCTACTTCCATAGTGATAAACCCAAAAAACCAAATTCACTGCCGTGGAGCAGGATCCAACTCCTAGCAACCCCTCCTTGGGTTTGCACTGCCAGCCTTCTCTGGTTTGCAGTCAAATGCCTTAGGCACTATGCCACCAGCACTCCCTCCGTAGTGATACCACCGTTGAAACCCAAGGAAGGGTCCCTATGAGTTGGATCTGACTCCACCGTAGTGATTTTGGTTTTTGGTTTTCATAGACCCAAGTACAAAACCTAAAACTACAAAGGTTGTATGAGAAAATATAAAAGAATATCTTCATAACTTTGGAGTAAGCAAAGATTTCCTATACAGAATATAGCAAACACTGAATATAAATTTTAAAAAATGATAAATTGAAGGTTCGTCAAAATTCTACTTTTCATAAGACAGTGGTAAGCAAACAAATAGGTAAGCAGCAGGTACAGAAAACAAGTATCTGAGAAATGGATCTGTATAGAGAATATATAAAGAACTCCTACAACTTAAGAAAAAGACAAACCAACTGGGGGGGGGGGAGGAGCACAAGACCTGAGAAGCCACTTCAGAGAGGACATAAAAATGACCAATAAGCACATGAAAAACTGTTTGACATCATCAGCCAACAGAGAAACGCAAATTTAAAGTATGATATGCCACTACAGTTAGAATGACTTGACAACATTGAATGCTGGGAAGGACACAGCACAATTAGCACTCTCAAACCTTGCTGCGGGGAGTGTATGATGGTGCAACTACTTTGGAAAACTGAGTCTCTTTATTTGCTGACCTAGCAATTCCATTCCTAAGTATCTATCCATGAAACAGGAAATTATATGACCACAAAAAATTGTACAAGAATGTTTATAGCAGCTTTATTCATTGAAAAAAAAAAAACAAAACTTAGTTGTTTCTAACTCAAATGGCCATCAAAAAGAAAATGGATAAACAATTGGTGGTACATACTAAACCGTACAATAGAATATATTAAATAAAAAGGAAATTACTGAAATACCACTGATATGTGCAATGGATGAATTTCAGATTTGATGCTGAAGGAAAGTAAAAAGATACAAAAGTACAACCTGTGCGATTTCATCTAAATGGAGTTCTTAAAGACAAAACTAATCAATAATGGCAGAAAAAAAATAAAGGTGGGGGGTCCAGGATTGAGGGAGAAAGACATGAGAAAATTTTTCTGGGGTGATGAAAACGTTCTGTTCTCAGAGGCGCGTGAGTTACAGGAATGATTTACAGTTGCCAAAATTCTTCTACCTGTGCACTTAATAGGAGCTGTGGTGGAGCAGTGATTAAAGCATTTGGCTACTAACCAAAGGTGGTTCGAACCCATCCACCGCTCAGCCGGAGAACGATGAGGGCAGCCGACTTCCGTAAAGATTCACAGCCTTGTAAACCCTATGGGGCAGTTCTACTTTGCCCATAAAGGCAGCTATGAGTCAGAATCGACTCGATGGCAGTGGAATTTTTTTTGGGGGGTGCAGTTAATACCTGTTTATTGCAATGTGTGTAGCTGCTACCTCAATTAAAAAAACAAAAACTATGTAAGTACCACGCATAGTGCCTGCTGAATTAAATGACCAAGCTCTACGTGAAAGGGAAAACGAAAACAAAAACTGTCACCCAGTCGAATCCGACTCATAGCGAGTACCATTGGGTTTCCGAGGCTGTAAATCTCTACAGAAGTAGATCGCCCCATCTTCCTTCCGCAGAGCAGCTGGTGGGTTTGAACTGCTGACATTTGGTTAGCAGCCAAATGCCTTATCCACTACCCCACCAAAGTTCCTTCACGTGAAGGAGATGGGGGAGAAGTGAATTCGCTTTGGACTTCAGGAGGGCTCCGCAGCCTCCCACAAGGAAGAATCAGCGGGGACCGAGGGGCAGGACTTGAGACCTCGCAGCCCGCCCTCATCCAAGGCCCGCCCCTTCCGTTTTCACGACGTTCAGTCTGCGTCCGAAATTGGAATTGCTTAGCCCAGAGGCATATATAAGATAGTTCCTAAAACATAAACCAACAACCTATCATTGTCACTTTTTCATTCTTGATTTTCAAGTAGCACTTGAAAATACCCAGGTTTAGACTCTGCACTTTTATGTCTTTTTTTTAACCCTCTCCCACGCAGTGGTAGCTTCTTTCCTGATTGCAGGCGACCGGGGGTGGGGCACACCATTCAAAGGGGGAGGGATTGAACTTTACATCAAAACAAATACTCCTTCCGATCCCAAACCAATAACCTAGGAGTCTTGGGGGGGGAAAAAAAAAGGGAAAAGGGGGATTACCTACCCCCCTCTGCAAGTAACAGGAACCAGTCTAAAAATATATTTTCTCTTTGTGCTCCCCTCCCATCGGGTGAGTAGTGAGCTACTCCGACTAAAAGAAACCGGAAATGCTCGTGCAAGCGGCACAAATGCAAATGTGGAGCCAAACAATAACAGGACTCTTTTAACAGTCTTTAGTTGGATTATCTTAATCTAGCAGAAACGGGGGCCGGCTGGAAAGATCACGCCAGGGAGAACAAGGTTCCGATAGTTTTGGAACTAACAGTTTGGGTTTGCCAGATTACCTCAAAGAATCCTTTTGGGATGGAGCCTGAGGTTGCACCAGGATGCCATGGGCTCCAAAGTCTCAAGCCATGAGTTCCCAAAGTCCCTAGATCTGAAAGTCTCAGACTCGCAACCCGTTGGGCATCTTATTCCAGGATTCCCATACCCGGCACTGGGGTAGGACGGAAGGGTGGGGAACCCCCTTAGGCCGGCTCAAGTTTTCCCCAGAGTCCCATTCCCCCGTCCAGGTGTTCAGGTCTGCGTTCGGCTGGTCCTAACATCTTTATCATCTACACCTAGGCTTCCCAACAATGCACTTGTATGTTGATCCTGCCAGCCAAGCTCCAAAACTCGCCAAGTCCCCAATGCCCCACCCCCAGCCCCCGCGATCTCCGAACTGAAAATACACGGAGACGAAAGCCCGTGACTCAGAGTGGACTCATCAGGCTGTCAAGCGCTTACCCGAACCTCGGGGGAGCGTGTAACCGTCCTGGAAAGCACGCTCCAAGCACGGACACCAGGTGCCCCTAGAGCCAAGCAGGTAGGTGCGTCCAGGATGGTGGCTTTGGGCTTTTGAGAAGCTGAAAACTTTTAGCGCCAGAGTGAGCACATGGGAAGGGAAACTCCCAATCCCAGCAACCACCGCGAGGCTTCTGGCACAAAGCTGGACAGTCGCCATGACAAGTAAGGGCAAGTAATGTGCCTGGGGGCGGAGACGGTGCAGAGGAGTGGGAGAGGAGGGAGCCGAGAGAGCAAGAGTTTTGTGGTGGGAAGTTCTAAAAACCAGAGCTGAGAGGGTAGAACTGGTGGAAACCGTTTTGGAGGTTTCTTGCCACTGTATCAAATATGAACTGTAAAAATGAGAGTCTCTGCGCTTGCTTTTTGCTCTGCCTGGAACACATCTTTCTCCAGGTAAGTTTCTTTTCATTAACTAAAATGTCATGTTAGGGAGGAGTCTTTGATATCCCAATCAATTGTATTCTCTAAGATAACTTCTTCATAGCTCTTACCGCTATCTGAAATGATTTATTTGCTCATTAACTTTAATACAGAGCAAAGGTAAGCTTTATGAGTGCAGAGACCTTGTCTATTAGTTTATTCTTTGTTGTAATCCTCAGTGTTAGTGCAGTGATGGGTGGCAAGAAAAAAAGAAGCAAAAACAACAAACAAAAAACCAAACCTGTTGCTACCAAGCTGGTTCTCACTCGTTGCCAGCCCATGTGTTGCAGAGTCGATCTGCTCCTTGGAGTTTCTTGGGTGTAATCTTTACGAAAGTAGATCTCCAGCCCTTTGTTCCACAGCGTCACTGGGTAGGTTGGAACCGCTGAAGAGGGAAGGTTTGCACCACCCAGGTACCTGAGTTGTTGTTGTTTGCCGTCGAGTCGGCCCCGACTCATAGCGACCCCTCCTTGGGTTTCCGAGGCAGTATCACTACGGAAGTAGGATTGCCCAACCTTCCTTCTGAGAAGTGGCTGGTGGGTTTGAACCGTCAGCCTTCTGGTGAGCAGTCAAGTGCCTTAGGCACTATGCTACCAGAGCTCCCAGGTACCTGAGTAGCAAGTATGAATTCAGTAATAAATTTTTATTGAATGAATGAAAATAGAAGTAAGTCTGAGAAATTTGGAAAATGAGATGCCAAAAGAAGTTGAAAAACTGTAAAGTCTCATAACAGTGCTGGTGCCTACTGCAGGTGAGGTGAGGTGGATAGGGGCTTTAGGTTTTAAGACATGGAACGGCAGGGGGAGCTGGAGGACTTTCGCCAAAGCAAAAAGCGTTAGAGTATAACTCCCAGCAGCCGTAGAGGGCTCCAGGGCTCTTAATCGGAACAGTAAATCATCTGATTTGTCCCCGCCCTGCCCCTGGCATAGGTCTCCCGCGAAATCTAAGCTTGAGCTGCGTAGATCCAATCGGAAAGTGAGCCCAAATCCCGCGAGAGCAAGTGGCGGCGCTAAGGAACGCTGGGCTTTCCACTTCGGTGTTCTCCGTTTGTCTCGCCTTCTGGGGATCGTCTGCCCCCTCCCGGAAGCGGAAGGAAAGCACAGGGGGTTTCTCCAGTTCTCCGTCCGGATCGTTGCCAACTTAGAAGCTGTTTCGGGGGCTCTGCGGGCTATGCAGCCCGTAGCCAGAGAGAAGAGGGTTGCTTGGCCCCAGGCCAATGTCTGTCGCGCTTTTTCTGCAGTATGAAGACGCCGGAGGAGCAACTGTTAGCTCCAGACTGCTTTCCTACAGTCCCAGCTCCAGCCAGTCTCTTGCCTCAGGCTTCCCCCATGGATAAAAGTTCGGACCCTGAACTAATGCCACAGCCACACGATGGGGATGATCCGTCCAGGATGTCCCTAGATCCCGTGGCTGTCTCAGCTGTGTCTCCGGAACTGGATGAGGAGGGCCCAGCTTCTCTCCCCACTCTCTTGGAAACGGAGTTTGGTACTGGTCATGAGTTGAGTCCTCGAATTGAGAAGCAAGAATCTGAAAATTCGAGCCTTCCAGCAGAAGAAACGAACGGACCAGAATTGGGGCTTGGAGAAACCATGGAAGGTGTGCCGGAGGAACCAGCTTTAGAGGGTGAAAGAAACACGTAAGTGGTGATCGCAGTTGACTCTGGAATCTGAGGAAGTTTACCCACTTCTCCAGGCCCATTTCCTCTTTACTTTGGCGACCCAGGTTTTTTGTCTCCCATCTTCCTTCCAGCACTTGGAACTACAGCTTCTCCCAGCTACCTCGATTTCTCAGTGGTTCCTGGTCAGAGTTTAGCACCCAACATGAGAACTTTTTGAAAGGCTGTAAATGGTAAGTAAGGGTAATGGGATAGGGAGATAATCACCCCCCGGACTGTCGCCTGAAAACACCCCAGCTATCTGGGACAATGACCTGGTAGAAGTGGGGGAAAGAGTAAGAATCGCTCTTGGGACTGAGCTTAAATTTCATGTAGAGCTTTATGTTCTTCATTTCTTGCAAGGATTCTGGGGAGTTGACTTTGTCAGAGGTAGGCTCAGCCCTAACCTTGCAGTTGGAAGTCATGTGTCTGCCAGCCCTGTAACTCTTTTGTGCTTCTAGGGCCCCTGATGGTTCCTGCATCTTGACCAGTAGTGCTGATAACGTTTTACGGATTTACAACCTGCCTCCGGAGCTGTACAGTGAGGAGGAGCAGCTGGAATATGCAGAAATGGTAAGGGCAGGGGCTAACTCTGCACTTTGTCAACACCTGACGTTTAACTCTTTACGTTGCAATGGAGAAAGGGTAATCTTACATGTCTCCTGTTCACAAATGGGATTCTTCTTCACTGTAAATTTCAAGTAGCATTTTCTACCCTGAATTCTAAGCTATTTAAAGAATTTTAAAGTATTTAAAGAGATACTTGTCTCTACTTCAATCAGGACTATATTTTTCATGAAAAATTAGTATATATCTTATAGCAGTATTCAATTTACTTACAAATATTTACCGAATATTTGCCCATCACAGTGTTTGGTACTGGAATGAAGTGGTGAACAAGATAGATAAAGAGCTGATTTACTTTCTAGTGTGAGATAGACAACAAAGATATAAACCAATAAGTAATCAGGATCATTACAGATTACATACATGCTATAAAGGAAATAGGGATTTGTGGTGGCATAGTGCCTAAGGCATTTGACTGCTAACCAGAAGGCTGGCAGTTCAAACCCATCAGCCACTCCTCAGAAGGAAGGTTGGGCAATCTACTTCCCTAGTGATACTGCCTCGGAAACCCAAGGAGGGGTCACTATAACTTGTATCTGACTCCACTATAGTGAGTTTTTTTTTTTCTTTTAAATGAAGGAAATAAGGAGCTCTGGTGGGTAGTAAGGAGTTCTGGTGGTGTAATGGTTAAGGCATTTGGCTGCAACCCAAAAGCCTGGTGGTTCAAACCTACCAGCTGCTCTACAAAAGAAAGATGAGGCAATCTTCCCGTAAAGATTTACAGCCTTGGAAACCTAGTGGGAGTCAACTTGATGGTAGTGAGTTTGGGTTTTTTTAAATTTTTTTGAATGAAGGAAATAAACAATGAGGAGAGACTAACTGGAGGATACCACTTTAGCTAAAATGGCCACAGGGGGGCTCTCTGTAAAAGAGACACTTGAACTGAGACCCAAAGACTGATAATGGATCAGTCATGTGAAGAGTTATGGAAAGTACATTCTAGGAAGAGGCAATAATATTAGAGAGTACTGAGGAAGAGTTTTTTGTGTTTAAATAACAGAAAGGCCAGTGTGGCTGGACTGAGGCAAGTAAGGGGGAAAATGGGGTGAGGATTGGGGTAGCTAGGAGCCATACCATATAAGATCTTATTCTCTTTTGTAAGAACACAACTCATAATTGGATTAGAACACATTCTATTATAGTATGACCTCATGTTAATTGATAACAATTAGGCCTTCAAAGACCCTCTTTTCAAACAAGGTTATAGTCACATGTACCAGGGGTTAGGACTTCAGCATATCTTTTTTTTGGGAGGACTCTATTCAGTCTATAACACCATCCATTTAAAGTGAGATGAGTTAGCATGGTTGTATATCTTTTCCCAGCAAGTTTAGTTTCTCTGTATGTAAAATGAGGAGGATAATAATAGCACCTACCTCACAGAACTGTGTTGTTGTTATGTGCCATTGAGTCGGCCTCGACTCATAGCAACCCCTCCTTGGGTTTCCGAGGCGTATCACTATGGAAGTAGATTGCCCAACCTTCCTTCCGAGGAGTGGCTGGTGTGTTTGAACCACCAGCCTTCTGGTTAGCAGTCAAGTGCTTTAGGCACTATGCCACTAGAGCTCCCCCAAAGAATTGTAGTAAGGATTAAAAGAATTGATAATGAATTAATATAGAGTACTTAAAAACAGTTACTACCATATAGTAAGTGCTCAATAGACACTAGTTGTTATCAGTGTTAGTTGACTGAAGGAAGGGAAATAGGACAGCCGAGTTAGGGTATACCAAAAGATAAAGGCAAGGTTCTTGAGGGTGTTTGGAGGGGTATGCTTATACTGATGGATCAGAATCTAAGCTGAATAAGGGGATGAATTGTAAGAGTGTGTGTGTGTGTGTGTGTGTGTGTGTGTGAGAGTGATGAAAATAACAAACATTCCCCAGGCCTGCATGTATCATTCAGTGGTTCTGATTACATTGTTCACGTTGGGTAACAATTATTGCTATACTGCTTCAAATTATTCCACTACTACTAAAAAACTAAGTTCCCTCTAAACAAAAAGTTCTCCTCTTCCCCTCCCTCCACCCCTTGTAACCACTAATAATCTTTGGTTTCTATATATTTACTTATTTATGAATATATTTTTGATGGAGCTGACAAGTTGCAGGAATGGCTGACCACCTGAACTTGATGGGTCAGAGATGATAATCAGAAATTGAAATTGGGGTGTACCATTACTGGCAACGCCCAGGCCCAGGATAAGACCATGGTAGTGCATGACTGAGGTAGAGCGATGGCATTGGTTATGGGTGCTGAGGGAGTCTTAAGAATGAGAGAGGCCAGGTCAGTGGGCGTTCATTCATGTTTTCATTGTTTAATTCCTTGAACAGATTTCTGTTGAGCACACTCTTATATGACAGGCAGTGTTTTAGGTCTTGCGCGTTAGTCAGGAACAAAACATACCAAAGTCCCTGTCCTCATGAAACATTTTCTTGAGTGTGGGGAGCAGACAAGAAAGAACCAAGTAAAATAATGTATGTGATAAGTGCCATGAACAAAAAGAAAGCAGGTAAGAGGATTGGGGCAGTGAATTGCAATTTTAAAAAGAATGGCCAGGGAAGACCTAACTGTTAAGATGACATTTGAGCAGAGACCTGAAGGAAATAAGGAAGGAAGCTGTGCAAATATCTGGGGGAAGAATATGCTGGGTAGGGAACAGCAAGTTCAAAGACTCTCTGAAGTGGAAGATAGGCAGTAATAGAGAGCAGCATGGTAACAAGGAGTAATGGAGGGGGAGATGTTGAACCAGGAGGTGAAGTCTCAGTTAATGAGGGAGGGTGACAAGGGGGAAAGTGAGTCTGATGGCAAGAGCTACAGAGGAGCTAGTTTTTGGAGATGAATTGTTTGGAAATAAGGGGGTAGGGACAAGGTTGACACCTACCTACCTTCTAGCTCTGGGGTGTACTGGGGAGAGAGGGTAAGAATTAAGCCATCTCAGCCTGAGAGGACCGCAGGAGACAGACAGGCACACCCAGGTGGGTGAAATGTTCTGAGAAGAGGATGAGAAACAATGGAGTTTTTTGATAGAGTAGGAATCCCATATGTCCGAGGATTTGGAGGGCAGGGGGTGTGCATGGGGTTGGGACAGATTAGGAACTATAGAGTGATAGTACAGGTCTTGGTAATAAAAGATGATCAAGAAGATGAGCTTCCCTGGGTCCTGAGGTCAATGGGGATGAGTCTTGATGGCTTCACACAAAGAATATTACCCAGTTCTGAGGATGGTTCTGAACACTTGCCTAACGTGCAGCTCCTGAAGGTCAGAGACCTAGTCAGCTGCAGACATGAGTTCTCTGTGCAGTAAGGCACTATAAGCTCTGGTTTCTGGAACAGAAATCAACTGCATCAGGGCCAGCTGGGCCTGGTGCAGCCATTATGAAAGAGCTCAGGAGCAGAGAGGTTGTTTGAAGCATGAATAGAGACTGTGGGAATGTGGGAGGCTCAATATTTATTGCACAAATGACATTTAAGAGAAACAAATGTTAAAACGGAAAGTGTCTATCACTCTACAATATTAGGCGTTTTGAGTTTTTCTCCACTCTTTCCAAGCTCTGTCCAAGTACTGAAAGCTTTTCATATGGTTGTAATCATGTAATGTGTGGTAGTCATGTAGTAGACAATTTTGTATAGTTTTTTCCTTTAACAATTATGTCTTAAATGTTTTTCATGGTGCTTCAATCTTCATCATTATCATGTTTAATGGTAAATGATACTGCACTGAGTGTCTATGATTATTCTCTTACCTACTCCCCTGTTTTGGACATTTGGGTTGTTTCTGGGTTTTTTAGATTGTAAATTAATCTTCAGTGAACATCTTCATGTATTTTGAGAGTAGGTTTTTTTTTTAAGAGAAATTTCATGAGTAAGAAGTACCCTGGGATATTGTAATTCTCTCACTGACATGATATAGGCAAACATATAGGGACCAAAGCTTATTAGTGGTTACCAAGATTGGAAAGGAGCTCTGGTGGCACAGTAGTTAAAGCATTTGGCTGCAAAACAAATGGTGGTTTGAACCCACCAGCCACTCTGGGAGAAAGATGAGGTAGTCTGCTTCATAAAAATTTACAGCATTGGAAACTCTGTGGGGCAGTTTGACTCTATCCTCACGGAACGCTGTGAGTCAGAGTCGACTCGATGGCAGTGGCTTTAGTTTTACTTTTAAGGGTGGAAGGGAAAGGGAAAGCAGGAGTGATTGCTTAGGGGGCATTGAGTTTCTGTTAATGGGGTTGAATAATTTGGAAGAGGAGAGTAGTAATGATTGCACATGATGAATGTGATCAGCATCCCTGAATTGCACGTTAAAATTGTTGAGTCGGCAAATGTATTGTTATATATGCATTTATCACAATAAAAAGGAAAGAAATAACCTGAGTTAGATAGTATTTATCAGTATTTTTTATATCTTGGGCTATAAATAATTTCTTTCTTTCTTTCTTTTTTTAAAATTTTTCTTGTAACTTGGGTGAAAGTTTACAAGCAAATTCATTTTCCATACAGCAGTTCATACACATTGTTTCATGACATTGCACTTCTCTATAATTTAACAGCTCTCTTCCCACTTCCTCCCTAGTTACCTCTTCCCTGTGTCCTTCTTATGTATTCCTGACCTCCTGATCTATCTCCTTGTGCAAATACTTCCCTTCTATTGTCCCATGATTGATCATTCTAAGGAGTGTAACCTGATAACAAGTGTTCACCCTTGTGATAGTTGAAGATGTGTCAACTTGGCTGGACTCCAGTTGTGAGTCGTGGTTCCCATGATGGATCACATGACTGGGTTCTGAGCGGCCGGTCTTCCCGGGGGGAGTTTCCCCGGGGGTGTGGCCTGCCTGCAGTGCTATCCCA